TCTGCACGACGTGGAGAAGGGAAAATTCTAAACCCTACTGGGACTCGAACTCCGGTCCCTCGGTCGTCGAACTCCGCTGTTAACTTCATGTTAAACTTTTAAAGCACAGTGGTTATTCTGTATACCACTTGCTTTAATGTTAAAAACATTTCAGCAGTACAACCGCAGAATGTACACGTATTTACGTGTTTCATATGATCCTCAGAATAAACAGTTATATTCTCCCCAAACAGGGAGCTTTAGGTGTTACCAGGTGACTCCCATGTTACCATCATGTCCGTAACGTTAACGCCCTCAATCTTACGAGTACTTGTGCAGCAGCGAGTGCCAGGAATAAGAATGGGGAGACTGTGAGGAAGAAACGGACCTGCAGTTCATTTTGCGGAGACCTGCACTTACATGGATCCATAAGAATGAGGAGACTGTAAGGAAGAAACGGTCCTGCAGTTCATTTTGCGGAGACCTGCACTTACATGGGTCCATAAGAATGAGGAGACTGTAAGGAAGAAACGGTCCTGCAGTTCATTTTGCGGAGACCTGCACTTACATGGGTCCATAAGAATGAGGAGACTGTAAGGAAGAAACGGTCCTGCAGTTCATTTTGCGGAGACCTGCACTTACATGGGTCCATAAGAATGAGGAGACTGTAAGGAAGAAACGGTCCTGCAGTTCATTTTGCGGAGACCTGCACTTACATGGGTCCATAAGAATGGGGAGACTGTGAGGAAGAAACGGACCTGCAGTTCATTTTGCGGAGACCTGCACTTGCACGGGTCCATAAGAATGAGGAGACTGTAAGGAAGAAACGGTCCTGCAGTTCATTTTGCGGAGACCTGCACTTGCACGGGTCCATAAGAATGAGGAGACTGTAAGGAAGAAACGGACCTGCAGTTCATTTTGCGGAGACCTGCACTTGCACGGGTCCATAAGAATGAGGAGACTGTAAGGAAGAAACGGACCTGCAGTTCATTTTGCGGAGACCTGCACTTGCACGGGTCCATAAGAATGAGGAGACTGTAAGGAAGAAACGGACCTGCAGTTCATTTTGCGGAGACCTGCACTTGCACGGGTCCATAAGAATGAGGAGACTGTAAGGAAGAAACGGACCTGCAGTTCATTTTGCGGAGACCTGCACTTGCACGGGTCCATAAGAATGAGGAGACTGTAAGGAAGAAACGGACCTGCAGTTCATTTTGCGGAGACCTGCACTTGCACGGGTCCATAAGAATGAGGAGACTGTAAGGAAGAAACGGACCTGCAGTTCATTTTGCGGAGACCTGCACTTGCACGGGTCCATAAGAATGAGGAGACTGTAAGGAAGAAACGGACCTGCAGTTCATTTTGCGGAGACCTGCACTTGCACGGGTCCATAAGAATGAGGAGACTGTAAGGAAGAAACGGACCTGCAGTTCATTTTGCGGAGACCTGCACTTGCACGGGTCCATAAGAATGAGGAGACTGTAAGGAAGAAACGGACCTGCAGTTCATTTTGCGGAGACCTGCACTTGCACGGGTCCATAAGAATGAGGAGACTGTAAGGAAGAAACGGACCTGCAGTTCATTTTGCGGAGACCTGCACTTGCACGGGTCCATAAGAATGAGGAGACTGTAAGGAAGAAACGGACCTGCAGTTCATTTTGCGGAGACCTGCACTTGCACGGGTCCATAAGAATGAGGAGACTGTAAGGAAGAAACGGACCTGCAGTTCATTTTGCGGAGACCTGCACTTGCACGGGTCCATAAGAATGAGGAGACTGTAAGGAAGAAACGGACCTGCAGTTCATTTTGCGGAGACCTGCACTTGCACGGGTCCATAAGAATGAGGAGACTGTAAGGAAGAAACGGACCTGCAGTTCATTTTGCGGAGACCTGCACTTGCACGGGTCCATAAGAATGAGGAGACTGTAAGGAAGAAACGGACCTGCAGTTCATTTTGCGGAGACCTGCACTTGCACGGGTCCATAAGAATGAGGAGACTGTAAGGAAGAAACGGACCTGCAGTTCATTTTGCGGAGACCTGCACTTACATGGGCCCATAAGAATGAGGAGACTGTAAGGAAAAACGGATCTGCAGTTCATTTTGCGGAGACCTGCGCTTACATGGGTCCTTAAGAATGAGGAGACCGTAAGGAAGAAACGGTCCTGCAGTTCATTTTGCGGAGACCTGCACTTACATGGGTCCATAAGAATGGGGAGACTGTGAGGAAGAAACGGACCTGCAGTTCATTTTGCGGAGACCTGCACTTACATGGGTCCATAAGAATGAGGAGACTGTAAGGCAGAAACGGTCCTGCAGTTCATTTTGCGGAGACCTGCACTTACATGGGTCCGGCTTCAACAAGAAGATAACGTACTCTGTCGCGGTGTCTTTTTATTACTGCACTTTGAAGAACCCCTCATTCGTGGAACAGTTAGGGTGTGGGCTCCAGTAGAGGGGTCAAAGAAATTTTGCTGGTAGACCTTCAAGTGATAAAGCCCGCGTTTCAAATTCTAGCATAACAGGGCTTTTACTTACACATTTCTTTTAAACTAAACCAGAAGCCCAAGTTTGTGCGCTTGTTGGAGGCAAATTGTAAGGTTGGGCTTTGGCGGCTTGCTTTTACAGATAAACTTGTGGTTTTAAATTTTAAAATTACACCTGTCGCCAGTTAATACCTTATTACTTCAAATTTCAGACGAATCCAGTTTTTGAATGTGGGTTTTAGGATAAACATTAGAAGGTTTCACATTCCTAGAATTCAAGACCCACCTCAAATTTTCAGCGGAGGGGGGGGGGATGTGTAAAATGCCCGTCTTGTAACCGAATTAATACTGTGTGTACTATCTACCTGTCTTTATAATGCAGATACAGGGTGTTTCTGTACGTTATGAATTTAATTTTTAAATGTTAGTTAGATTAGTTTCATGTTTCAAACGGCTGAAGATCCTCTATAATACACTGTACACCTAAAGCCATAAATGCATTTTTAATTATAGCTACACCGTTGTATACATTCACAGAACCTGACTCCACTTCAGCGATTCAGAAATATTGCACCTCGATATACAGTAAGAAGCATTTTGAAGTTTTTAAGAATTGTACATATTCCCATCTTCCAGTACTGGATGCCCTGCAATCATAGTCTTCTTGTGGCGCCAGATCCATTTGGTCGGTAATTGTTTCCAAGTTATTACAGCACATAATTGAGCAGATGTTGTACATGTCTGTGCTTCCGATCTCCTTCTGCAGCCAGGGTTTTCTTTGTCCATGGCTTCTTGAACGTGTCTCATTTCAGAAACAGAAGCTTTGTGCTAGGACGGCACCGAGATCCGAATGCTCAGTTCATATGTTTCACATTGCACATACAAGCATAGAGACTATGAAATAGAAACTTTTGTAGGAATTGTAAATTAGGTTGCATTGCTGTGAAATGGGACCTGCTGGCCCATAGCCTCCTGCTTACCCACCCCATATTGCTTTTGCACACCAACTGTTGGTCAGTGAGTTCCAGACGTAGTAATCTGATGGACTCAGATCCAGAAAAGTTGGTGGTCATTCGAGAATCATGACAGATTAAATCTGATGGACTCAGATCCAGAAAATTTGGTGGACATTCGAGAGTCGTGACAGATTAAATTATAGCGTCCAGCACTTTCAGAGCAGGAAATATGAATGTAGAAATGTTAGGTTTTAACATTTATGATGAAAAATATTTTCTCCCTGTATAGCCGGTGATTCAGATGGACTGCACCGTATATACATAAAATGTAGAAACTGCACACAGCGTATATGAGTTTCATTCAAATCTGAGGGGACATTTCATTGTTGCCACTTTTTTTTTGTTTCCTGCCCACTGTATTCACTGTACACTTGTTTGCACAGAGAGCCGTACTGAAAGTTATTAGCCAATGAGCTGTGAGGTGAGATTACTGAAACAGTATAAATCACCACATCTCTGTTTTTGTGCTCAAAGCCAGGTGGTGATGTTTTGAAAAGTGTTGGTTTGGGTATATGGCCTTCGTATCAGGAGGACCTTGTTATGAAGAGAGAAGCAAGTGGATGTAAGGTCAAGAAAGCAGTATCATGTTGACATGATGTCAGACACCTGCAATGGTTTGCTTAATAATGCTACTTCCTGCCCATTAATTAATGACCGTGCAGGAGTGAATTAAACCCTGAAGCAAGATGCAGACGGTTAAGCTTGGTATTGCATTGCCTTGGAACTGCGTGGAAAATTTGTGTGGCACCTAATGCATAACCTCTTCAAGCATTGCAGATTTACCAACTGCTGTACAGTTTTTACTAAAGTTTTAAGGCTTAACATTGTCAGCATTTTGTGGGGTACCAACATGGTACATACTATATCTGACCTATATTTTAGAATCAAAACAATGGCAGATTGGTATGCATGTGAGAGAAAGTATTTGTGTGGGTGGGACAAAAGATATTTAAAATTTCATAGTGCCAAGAGTGTAGCTTATGTAAAGTAAGCTATGATGCTCAAACCGGATGTATCTGTTTACAATTCCTGTATTCCTTCATCTAGAACAGGTTTCAGTATTGGGCAGTTTTCTACCCAGAATTTCCAGTTAAGACTTGATGCATGTACTTCATATCTTTAACACAAGTGCCTCTTTTGTTTTTAAGTAGCAGCATTTAATCCCCTTAAGCACTGTGGTAAAGTCAACATTTTTACCCATTTTGTTCTGAACTTAGACATTAATTGGCAGTGAGCAGTCAGCTTCATGCTTTGGCAATCTTAGCTCCTCCCTCTCCCAGCAAGGAGAACAGGGCTCCATAACAGAGACATATCAGATAAGCCGACATGATAAGTTGTCAGGAAGTTCCCGGGAATTCCAGAGTCACAAATTATTGTACCCGTCTGTTCATCCAGCAGCCAACATTTCTCTCTGAACTGTCTCTTGTTCTTCAGGATGAAGTGCACAAACATTATTTGTTTTTGCAGCAGAAAGCTCTTTGGCTCAGATATGAACTAATGTGATGTCTGTCTGTTTTGCAGAGACACAACATGTATGCCATCCGCTACTGGATATGCGAGGCGCTGTGTCTGATCAACATCATTGCGCAGCTCTACTTCATGGACCACTTCTTTGATGGCGAGTTCTTCAGTTACGGGCTGCGTGTCATGTCCTTCTCAGAGCAAGCGCAGGAGGAGCGTGTTGACCCCATGGTGTATGTGTTCCCACGTGTTACCAAGTGCACATTCCACAAGTATGGGGCTTCTGGTTCCATCCAGAAGCATGATTCGCTCTGTGTCCTTCCTCTGAACATTGTTAACGAGAAGACGTACATTTTCTTGTGGTTCTGGTTCATCATCCTGGCAACCATGCTGTCACTGCTGGTGGTGTACCGAGTCGTCATAATAGCTGTACCAACTGTGAGACCGTACTTGCTTCATGCACGCAACAGAATGGTTCCTCGAGAAGTAGCTGCTGCAATATCGCGTAAGACGGATGTAGGCGATTGGTGGATCTTGTATATGCTCGGCCGGAACATGGATCCAATCATATACAGGGAAGTGGTTGCAGAGTTGGCCAAGAAAATTGAGACAGCTGCCAGCAATACACCCTGAAGTTCAAGCGATAGTGACTGGAACTGAACAAGTGTTGTTGCCCAACATTGGTATTAATTTTTGATCCCCAGAATCGTTAGTGCAGTGCCTTTTGTGGGGTTGCTGTGCTGTAATCAATTGCTCACCTTTCTCATTTAATACTATTCATGTTTGCATTGAAAGAGAATCTCAGTTTTACGAGAAATATAACCACTTGATTATATGTGATATACAAAGTTTGGGGTACCATGTTTTTATACTTACTGTTTTACATTATATTTAGTGGTACAGATAATTACAAAATGGAAACAAGAGAAGACAAAAATATAAAATAATCAGTTATTTGAATATGAGATTATAAATTCCTGTAAATATATATGTTGGGGGTACAGGAAGTGTTTATGATTAATTCTTTATATGAAATTTAAAATAATTCTGGATTCTGAGCTGCTTATGGCACTGAAATGAAGATGAATGTTTCAGGATGTGATGGTGCATATTCTGGCAGAAAGTTGCCAACGTTTCGGAGGACTCTGGTGCCTTCTCACATTTTCAGGGCACGCTTCTGCACTGAAGTTGGAGGAATTACCAGGTTCCTCTGAAACATCGAAAACAGGCTAACAGACTACATGGCATCACATTCCGTAAGACAGTCTATCTTGCAGTGTATCTTTTATTGAATCATTTTTCATTGACTTGAGAAATATAGAATTGTTTGTTATGACCAGTCATACGTATGTCACCAGTGTGCACCAGGACTTCCTGTTGGTGTAATCATGCTGGAGAGAAACGTGTATCTTTACGTTCAGTTACAATATGCTGTATGAGACTGGGGTGATGTGTGTGTGGCGAAACAGTTGCTGTGTTCCTTAAATTGTCTGTAAATGTAATATTATTATTGTAGGGCATGTCATCCAAAGTAGAATAAGAAAAATAATTTTAAAAAGACCAGCAAAGAGAGAAATTCCCTTTCTCTCGTTTTCAGGTAGGTACATGTTGAGAGCTGTCATCATGCTTCGCCATATTTAATATTTTTCATTGTAGATTAACACCACCACCATCAGACACTGCCTATATTACATATAGTCAATATAATTAAAAAAATGACTTGTTTGAGAGGCAAAAAACTATTGCATTTTCTATTTATCATTACATAACTGAATTTCTTCCAGAGAGAGTATTAATGATGACACCTCTTAACTTAAGAACATTGAGGAGCTTCCATACTGTGTGTTCAAAATGAGAAAGAAATTCTGTTTCTACTGTATATGTAATGAACATTTTTATATGTAATTTATATTAAACACAAATGCATGATGAAGTTAAAATTTACCTTTTGCGCCAATAAGCTTGCAGTTTATATATATATGTATATATATATATATATTGTAAGCAATTTGTTATTCATGTGATAATCTAAGAAACGAATAAGACTCGCCATTTTCCTTCAATTTTGAATCGTTGTCTTCCTCGTGGATTACATTCCAACTGAAATGTAATATTATGAATATCTTTACATTGGAACTGCACAGTATTTTGAATACAATTTTAATGAGACTTTAGTTAACGTGTCTTTTATTCAACCTTATGTCTCCCTTTCCAATTCCATGTATTCTGAAATGAATGAGTGGGGGTAACACTGTAATGGACAGTTAGACCATCCCATAATTTCTCTGTATGCATATTAGCAAATAAAAATGCTTAGTTTCAGTTTGTAATTCTTGTTATTAGAACTATTTAAATAATATAATTTCGCCAGCATAAATGAACTCAGTCGCATTAAGATTATTGTGTTTTTGGACATTATCCACCATCCTGTTTTTTGTTTGAAACAACGTTTCGGAGACTGGATTCTGTCTTATGTCTTCAGGCAAAAGCCTGCTCAGTTGGGCCCAATCGATAGAGCTAGAGCCTATCTCTGGACACCAGCACCGACCCAAGATTGGAGATACGAACAAGCATGGCATAAACCATCTGCGAGAGTGTAAGACAAACATCGAAAACATTAAAATAAAAAAAAAACATGAAGCCTTGCACTGTTACATTGCTAACCGCTTCGATGAATTTATCATCTGGATTGTGCTTCTATTCTGTAGCCTGTAGCAACAGCAACCGATACAAATATCACAGAAACAACGAACTACAGAGCATTTGGCCCATGGCTCGGAGATCGGTTATCTTCACTAAGGTTTTCTGTTGTTTTCCTCAGTTCCTCCTGACAAATGCCGAGATAGTACCTAAAACTATAATCATATTAGCGTTCCACGCTACATAGACTGAACTACGGGGGGAGTCAGTCGGTCTGTTAAACTGCTGCTGGGCCTCGCCAGCACAGTGATTCTTGGTTCCGAGTCCCGCAGGACTCATAACCGAATTTTAGTGTCTGAGGGCTCTGGGAGCCTTCAGACTTTGTGTCCGTTGCTCGTTGCTGGCTTCCAACAGCATACCTCTCACGAATCGTAAGTTCGTCTACTTCTGATTCCATGGCAGAAAATTGATTACCCCTGTGATAACTGATGCTACCAGAGCGATCTTATTGAAAGTAAATAATTCCATGGAAAGATATCGCCCCAGAGCAGCGACTTTTTTTTGGATACCTGAACCACCGATATGTTCGTGCCCTTACGCCCATTAATCTGAGGAACACGGAAAGGGGTCTAAACACTGTAATCACGTATGACTTATAAAGACATACTTACAACCCACAATAATATCCAGGGTAAACTTGTTCCTTTTTTCCTCCCAGGCGTCCAATCAAGTTTATAGAAAAGTAAATCATGTAGCACAACCGTTCCGAACCGGGAGTACATGCTCCTTCAAGG